AACTTTGTACAAAATGGGAAAATTTCTGCAGTTACAACACATATTTTATAAAAAAAATAAATAAATAAAAAAGGATTAGCATTGATTTTCATTCATTTCCTTTTGCCTTCTTTCTATATAAAACAGCTTTTTAAACTCCCCTTCTGCTCCCACAAAAGACTCTATTCTTCATTTTGAATTAGGCTCAAAATGTTTGGCAAATTATGAGTACGTTAGAGGTGGAAAATACAAAATATATACCTAGGCAAATCTCAAAACTATAGCAGCTTCCTGAAGCAGAAAACATAGCACCAGAATTGTTCCACATCATTAATCAACCTCAAAATTTTGATGAAATAATGTTCCAAAGAAGGAAAGAGTTGTTTTTAATGAAGTATTGCCTTATTTGAAAATATGTTCACTTTAACATTGCTTAGCATGTAAGAAACAGTTTCGATACTATTAAAATACATCCTGTTCATTTTTACGTACACGGCAAAACTACCACTAGATTTAAACAGGGAAATATAGAATAATCTCTCACAAAGAAAGATATCTTTCAGAGAAAATATATGGTTTAAAACAAACTAATATATTTTTTTAAAATATAACTAAAATTGATTTCAAACAATTTAAAAATATTTCTGAAACTACAGAGTTTCTGTGAACTGCTATTTAAGGTTACCTACAGGAGATGACTTGGCTGGTTAGAAATATATTTCAATGCATGGACATTTGAGGTCTTTTTTAAAGTTATTTTTACAAACTGTAGGACACTTACCCAAGACAAACAAGCTAATTTCAAAACAGCTAGTTCCTGAGAGAACCAGTTACTCATTAACAGTTAGACAAATAACCCAAGACTGATCTAGATAAACTTCAGAAAAACTCAACCTGTCAGTTCCACTGAATGAAAAAAAAAAATACGTAAAGAGCTCCAAACAGGTTTTGGTACTGAATTTGAAAAATTATATTGAATTTGGAGAAAATCTGTACCACTCCAAAAAGTAAAAAGTATCTAGTTTTTCAGCAGTGAGTGATAAAATGAAATATTTGTGTTAAATAACATTTCTGGAGTAGAGTGGTGGATGGAAAACTTTCTTCAAAAATAAGAAATAAGATCCAGTCTATCTGGATCTGGAGAAAAAAAATAATAAGTAAATCCTTTATTTAAGGGCAGAGAGAGCTTTTCCTGAAGTCAACTTTAAATTTTAATTTCCTCAGGCCTTTTAACTTTACTCGTCTCCTGACATAGTCCATGTCCAACAATAATAAGTCTAAACATTTTATGTTATAGGCCATAGCCCTTCTGAAACTCCGATTTGTTTTGATGAGACATCTAATCAGAAAATGTGAAACTGAAAATCCCATCTCAATTTCACTAAGCTTCTTAACAAATTAAATGAAATGTTGCCAAAACTCTTCAAAGGCATTGCTAACATTGGGATTTCATTCAGTTACATGATTGGTTCTATGTTATATGGCTAAAGTGTCCTTTATGTTTCAGGCAGTGAACAGTTAATGTCCCATAAAAGTGTTTGCTTTAAGTTAGAATACCTTTGACTATTCAAATCCCGAATATCACACAACACGCTTTATTTCTGTGAACAAGCGGAAGTCTTTCTATATAAAACTTCATGACTCCTAGCCAAGTTCTTTATATGGCCTAAGGGCTTATGAACAATCTTGGTAGCAAGGAATAATAATAATAATAATAAAAAGGCAAGTGATCACTTGTATATCACTTCTCTATCTATGTACCTAGGAAGAACTTACATTAGACACATGGTGCATTGTGTGAGTAACAATGCAGGAAGCGTTTTTTTCCAAGGATTACATATGAACCTAAGTCATATATGGGGAAAAAAGCATAAATTTTAAGACAGAAATATTAATAATAACTCCTCACATAACTCATACAGGGAGACAAATGCACGGTGTGCCATCGAGAGCTCCGCCAACATTTGTAATACCTTGTTGGCTCTTCAGGACATGATGCTCAGCACACCAAGGAAAGGAATAACCTAAAAAGCACCAGGAAGTGAAGGGGACCCATTTCAACCTAAATCTAACTGCAGATGCAACAGAGGTTGGCAGATCAGCTGTTTAAATAATACCCCTTCCACCCTTTGCCCCACACCTCCTACTTGTCTTTCCTAGTTGTACAGCTTTTTAACAAAGGTAATAGAGGTTATTCAAGAGGAAGCAAACAGAAATCTCACCAGTGTTGTTCGGAAGCACCCGAAGGTTTTCAAATTCTAGCATGGTATAAGAGGAGTCCAAGGAGTCGACGTAATCTGGCATATCCATGTCCATGATGGACTGACAAAGCTTCATTATTACTTGTCAACTGCAAGGGAAGCGGCAAAAACAGCCCTGCTGTCAATCACGGCCAAGTTTTTCCTCCGCAAAGAGACACCCCAGCCTTTGCACTGACAAATCATTACCCAGCTCTGCCCGCAGTCCCCTCCCCGTGCCAGGAGAGAAGGGACGAAGCCTTTCCTTCTCTCGCGCTCAGTCCCCTCCCTTCCCGGGGTGCATCTGTGCTCTCGGTCCTGATAATATGATGTAGATAAGGCCTAGACTCAAACAACTTGGATTGCATCTTTGGGTCAATACTGCCTGGTTTATGGCTGTTCCTGCACAAACATTTTGAAAAGGGCTGCAGAGAGGCGTTCACACACGCACAGCTTCACTCTTCCAGGGTGAAGCAGTGGTCACGTCAAATCATGCCCGTGCTGCAAAGGTGTCACCTTGCTTGGCTACCAGCCCTTGGGAAGAAGATCAAGTGCTGTCACTTGAAGCTGGTGAAGACAATGAGTCAGTGTCACCGCTGGCTAAAGACCATGAAGATGGGTCAGTGTATAGAGCCTGAGGCACTGCCAAGAGGCACCTAGTTGTGCCTCTTGGAACAAATGGAAGGGAAAAATGAGGTTTCATTACAGCCAGTTTCATGCTTTCACCCTGCCCCACAAGCAGAGGTGAGGTAACTTCTCCCACTGGGCCTTCAGGACATGATGCATCACTTGGGCCTTCCTCCTCCTCCCTTCAGGCAGCCCCAGTTTCCCAGAGCTCCCACCCAGCAAGAGCTTGGCTGTGGTTTCAAGTTGCTAGGGCAGAAGGTTTCAAGTGATGGCAAATGATGGAAATGGGAAAGGCTGGAAGGAACCAGGCAGACTCCTTCACAGATGTGTGGTGTTGCATTTCATGATGACCCATGCCTGGCTTTTCTGGGAAAGGCCTGTATTATGGAAGTACAATTCCAGGTTTTCCCCAAAGACCGTGTGTGGTTTTTTTAATTTACTGAATTTTGCACAGTTCTTTCACTGTTAAGACTCATGAGTTGTACTGCAAAGGACTGGAAATAAGATACAGCCATGAATTTCCCCAAAACATTACACCTGGAAGTGGTTGGTTTACTCCTGGTTTTGTCCTCCAGATGCCTTCCCTGACATTAAAGCTCACCCTCCAGTGACGTTGTTGTGTGTCAGAGAGCCTTTCCTTTCCATGAGCTGTTCTGCAAGATCCAGTTCAACATCCTGTTGAATCTGGAGGAAAGAAGTCTTGAGAAACAGGGAAATGTGTTGCCAGAAAAAAAGAGCCTTGGCCAAAAGAAGGGGGTTGCCAGACGGCCTGAACTTTCACTGAACCAAAGAGCAGGGCAGCCCATGTATCCTAGCAAACTCCAAACAGCAAGAAATGTGCCAAAACTGAGTTTTGAAATATCTTAGATATACTCATTTTTATTTCATCTCTGCAGTCCCCATTTTACATGCAAGCTGTCAGGATCTGTCCATATCCTGGGGACTTACAGTAGGCTTTGCAATGGGTTAACTTAGATGGGCTTTTCCCCTATAAAGATTGGGTGCAGGAACACTTACCTTTAATTTCTTATCATTTCTGGGGCATAAAATAATTTCATGTGCCATAGATATTTTGTTCCTTCTTTCCTTTTTTAAGTACGTGTTGTAACTAGTGGTGCACAAATGACTCCTTGGTTAGATAAGACATTATGTTTTTATCCTTGGACTATGCCCCCAGGCTTTCAGTAATGCCAGCATCAGCTAAGTTAGCATCTGATTAGTCGTTCTTGCCTCTTACTCAATGTCAGCCTTGATTATGCCTATTAATCTGGCACATTTTTTTGAACTGAGCTATGGACACAATCCTGCCTGATTCTCAGCACTCTGACACTATCACAGCCAGGTAAAGAGACTTAGATTTCTCCAGTTCGAGTGGGTTTTGTATGGGTTAATCACCATTGAAACAGCCATCTATGTAGTCACCATGTTTTCAGCCAGTTGTGGCCCAGATAAAAGATGCTGGGGCTCCTGCTGTTCTCAATTTCTCAGTACAAAGTGAGGGTTAAGGCTCTTTTCCAAAAAAAAAAAATAATAATAATAAAAAAATCTGGGCAGTGAGGACATGCTTGAACACTTCTTGTTCTGGGAACAAGGAAAGAGTATTGGGAACAAGAAAAGGTTGTTGAGTAAATTTTACAGTTCAGGCCTCGACTTTCAACATCACATCCATATTGATATCAGGATTGACTTTCAGGATTGATTGCAGGTGGTATTGGAGTGATACAACGCAGCAATTCTATCTATTTCAAAAAGAAGTCAGCACCCTGTTCCTAACTTTGCTAGCACAAAATCAGCCCTGAAGATTACTGAAACTTTGCTGAGGGCTGAACAGTTTCTTCTTTTTCCTCTCTTTGTTTTCTTGCATCCATTTCTCAGTCACAGATACACCTTCACTATGATGTATTCAAGGATGGGATGGAGTTTTATTAACCTTGAGAGAAATCTAGCTTGCTTTGAGGTGCCCTCACATCTACTTAGCACCATTCATTATCACAACAAAGCAGACACCTGTCCCAGCAAACCTCTGATTTCTTCCTTTATTTAAAATGATTTAACCTTTAATTAAGAGCAGACCAGTTGGGGAGCTAGGGAGGGATCTCTCTCCAGCTGATCTCAAGCTAGTGTTAGACATATAAATATGCCCAGGAAAGAGGCTGGTAGCAAATAGGAGGGAAGGGTTGGGGAGGGAGGGGGTTTGAGCAGCAAATGTTTCCCAGTTAGGGCCCCTGTGTCCCACACACGGGTCCTAGCAAGTTGCTTTATGAGGTGGGGAAGGGTTTCTACGTAAGGGCTGTCCCTCAGGGCTTTAGAACTGATACCTGCCTAGGTAAGTTTACCACAATGAGTTGCGTGTTGTAATATCTACATTTTTTTTTTTTCCAAGACATATTGTTGGTGTTTTATCTCTATATGGAGATAATGATGATTTGTCTTTTTTTCCCCTTTTTTTAACTCTGAGACTGGAGATAGCTGGAGAGTGTAGGGAAAATAAAGGAAAAGAAATGCAGAGTTCTGTTTAATAAAAGTAATATGTATGTTCAAAGGTAGTGCTCTGGGAATTAATCTATGTGGTTTCTTATGTGTTGTGGCAAGGACAAAGGGCAAGCTCTGACAAGCACATGGTCCCTATAAAACAACAAGCCTATTCCTAGAAATAAAATCAGATGCCTTTGGGAGTTCTTATTAGACAAGATGAAGTGCAGAATAGATAAGAATTCTTCTTAATTAAGTAAGAATACAAAACACCAAGAACATGCTGTCAGAAGCAACACTTCTTTGGCAAGGTAAGTGGTGGGAGAAGAAGTCTGTAAGCTATGGCAGCTTCATGATGATTTGTAGATGCTTTTTTTCAGGGAAAGTGAAACTGCTGCATATGGGGGGAGGTGTCAAAGACACTAAAACTGAGGACAGACACTTTCTATGCAAAATGGTGAGGCAGACTTCAGACCCTAACTGATTCTTTTGGCATGGAAGTATAAGAGTATTCTTCCTTCATTCCTAGAAGCACACTGAAAAGCCCTATCACTAATTTATAGACTTTCTTCACATGAAAAGCAGCAATAATTATATTATTTCCTGAATTTTCAAGTCTTTGTGAGTATATGCTCAACAGTGCTCAGGTGGTTCTCAGATATCAGAAGCATCAGTAGCCCATAGGATTGGATAAAAGCAATCGAATGGCAGAAGTCAGTAAGGCCTTTCTTTTTATGGGTAATGTATAATTAGAAACAGCATGCTGCTGGGATTGTAAGCAGTGTGAAATCATATAATTAGTGTATAATTACAACTGCAGACATGACAAATTTACCCAGACCAGATGTCTACTAGATCAGTTTCCTCTTTTCTTGAAAGCAATTTCTTTTTGTGTATAAGACTGCATTACACTAGCAGCAGAACCTTTGTGTTATCAGGTATTTCTTATGATCAAACATTTGGCACTGTGACCTTACTGCATGGTGAAGGGCTGCCTGTTCTTCCAGTTGTATTGCCTAAATTGTTTGCAAAGTTAAAAACAGCTTAATACACTTCTTGGCTAGCATCTTTGTTTTTCCAAACAGCATCAGACCAATTCATTTACTGTGCTGTAAACTCATTGCATGTTTAAAAATCAGGACAGCAGATGCCCATTAGGAATGTCTGTGTCACCACAGCCTAAACTGAAGGTTGCAAAGTTGAATTATCCATGGGGGAGGCTCACAAGGTTTACAGCTGACAGTTACTGAGATGCATTTTGTTGTCTTGTTCTTGACGATATTTGGAGAGAGGAGAGCTGCAGACTTTTCCCCATGGTTTACTCTCACCTTTCATTTGGGGATGTTGGGTTCTGCACAGCATGATGGGCAGGTCAATCACTTCTTAAGATAGTCTCTGAATGCTACAGCCCCCGAAAAAGCTATTCCACACCCAGCTAATATAATTCTTATTGAAACTAATGGCAACCAGCCAACCAACAACCTATTCCCCCTCAAAAAAAAAAGTTAGCCAAAGTCATCAATAAATCTTTGGTTTGGCTTGGTGATGGTTTTGCATTAGAGCTCCATTGATTCCCCTGCTGGAAATCCATGCTTCATTTGCCGTGTTTCAAAGACCTTGGGATCCTTGAGTTTAAGCCCAGCAAATCTGGGGTTGTTTAGAGACAGACCAAATTTCTGGAGCTGGACAATGGTCAGCCAGTGAGTCACATCCTGCAGCAGTGAAAAAAACCTGAGTAAGGACATAGGCTTTTTCTCCACAATGCCTTGACAGCATCTGAAGCTGGAGTGGCTTTAACCATCCAGCCTTCCTGAAGTCCACATGATGGATCTGGATGTGATAGATGATGTGATGACATCGGATAACTGGTCGCTCTGCTCCTGTGGCTGGAGGTGACCCAGGATAGGTACTTCTCTGCTCTAGCAAATAATGAAGATAAAAATGCACAGTTTTGGATATTTTGGGAATATAATCTGTATCACCAGCAACTTGTATGTGCTGAAGTGAGCCTTGTGCATCTGCTACCACAAACCAGTATTCCAGTCCTCCAGCACCTTCCCATGTTCACACTTCCAGGTGTTTAGAAAGGACAGATGCTTCTCTGGTGTGTGTGTGTTGAGGGGGAGAGCCTACAGGTCTCAGATGCCATCACTGGTGTACACAGGAGCAGCATAGCCAACACAGAAGCTCAAGGACTTGAGCCAGGCTCCTTGGAATGCTGGTTACATGAGCCAATCTCTGGCAGTAATTTTTCCATAGGTACCACGTCTCCTTAGCACACAACCAGGAGCAGAAAATCTAGATGTAAGGATCTGGACTTTCACCTCCCTTTCTCTTCAAATTAACTTATTTTGGCTTGCTGCTGCCAAACACATTCATTTAGCAATTACTTATTTTGCTTTTAGATTAATTAAATTCAATCTTTCATAGTAACCCTTTAGGGAAAAGAGAAAGTTAAGCAAGCTTCAATAAGTACACTGAAACAATTCCCTTAGGATAATTTAAAGATCAAACAACAAAAAATGCAAAGACCTTTCTGGGGTCTGGGTGCTTTTTCCACCAGGTGTGAATGATGGATTCTTGTCTTTACAAATCATCAAACATAAATCACAGAACCCATACTGACCAATGGCTTCAGGTCAGTGAACTTATGAAATTCTCAATTTTTTTTTTTATTTCAGTGATGTATTGACTGTTCAACACAGCTGAAACCTGTACTGGATTTGGGGAATAAATCTGAGGTGTTTTACATTCTTGCAGTGACCAAGGATTAACCTGAAGGTTTGTTCTGTCTGAGTTCATGTGACTTTTGTTCTTGGAAATGGTGCGTTTGGCCAAGGCCAGGTCTTCAGAAGCGCTAAGTGCTCATTTAGGTTTCTAAATATGAAACAGCCTGAATTTCACATCTGTTGAGAAACAGGAGCTCCCACTGGGAATAATAACTGGATTTGTAGATATCTTCATGTAGCCACAGGCCATTCATGCAACTGTGTCCCCTGTTTTGGACACCTGAATAAAATCTCATTTCCTGGCCTACATGGGGGTCTTCTGGAGTTTGATGCCCTTTGCAGACTTGTCCCTTCTTGGCAAATGCTTCATAGCAAACACCTGATGCCTGCATACACCAGTTTGCATTTAGTTTTGCTCCAGAAGCAGCAATAATTTCTCAGAAAAAGGAAATGTTTCCAATATTTTTCAAACTGCAACTTTTTTCTCTCATTGAAAAATACTTCTATTGAGGGAATTCTTTGGAGATATTACAGAGAACTTCTTGTTTCTTCTCTTTACTTGAAAAAGGTCAATTGGTCAACACTTGAAATCAATTATAAAGGAAAGGGAACAAGCTTCTTTGTTAAATACCTTTTGGGGCAAAGAATGTTTGTTGATTTCAAAATGACTGTTCATTTCAAATTGAAATGAAAGTTTATTGAAGTTTAAAAGTCACAGAAGAAGGGAGTGAAGTTTAAATATTTGGTAGTGAACCAAATGAAATGTACTAAAAGGACGGAAAAAAAACAGTTATTACTGTTTGGAACTGTCAGCCATGGTACAGCTGCTGATTAACATTTGAGGCTGATGGTAAGTTGCTTTCTATAAGTGGAAAGTTATGTCCCATGTAGCAAACCCCATAACTATTGGGGTACAGCATGTTAGGTCTGAAATTATAAGGGTTTCAGAATAGATTGTATCTGATACCATCAGTTTATGAATGATATTAAAATGTTTGTGAAACTCTAGCTCACTCACCATGTAACATTTTAATGAATTTACAGTATGTCCTGTTTGGATATGACTCGTCACAAAGTCCCCTGTTTGACTGGGAGATGATCTTTTTCCACCTGCTTTCTATGAAGACGATAAAGTCTGACTAAAGCAAATACCTGAGCCTGAACAAGAGCTGGCAGTAGAAGAGGAGCCAGGGAGATGGGAGCAACATTACCTCACCTGATGCTGCTCAGAGTAGGCATGGGACTCATCTGGAGAGCACCGCTGCCTGTGGGCAAGATTTTGGCTTTTCTTGCTGAAAATGACATGCCATTAGTCAGGAGTAACCAACCTTGAAAAGTGTATTTGCTATGACTCCCATCTCCCCTGTGAACGACATTCCTGCTGCTTCAAGCTTTTTTGGTTGCAGTGTTGACACTTCTTCAGATCTGTCATTAGCTTAGCTGAAGAGAAAACAGAAACGCTATTCAAGACCCAGATCCAATGTGGGAGGTTAGGAGTGCAAATTCTCACTTCACACTGAAAGCACGATGAATGTTTTATGTTACTGTTGTTCTTTCTATTTTAGGGGATGCCTTTATTATTTTATAAGCCCCTTGCTGTCATATAAAGCATCTTTTTTAAGGTAATCTACTGAAATCATGCTCATATAACTTAAAATTAGATCTTTCACATTGCTAAGAATTAGTCTGGCAGTTCTTAGATTTTTGCTTGTACTGTATAAATTTCTACTTCTGGTTTTAAAGGTATCTAACCTTCTTGCTTTTTTTTTTAATGTATTTTAAGACTTCTGTGGTGAAATCTGATTCAGCTTTACACCATGAGTACTCCAATTTCTCTCAAATCCACGTTTTCTGGTTGTAAGCTGTTGATTCCACCCTCACTCTGCATCTTCACATTGTATTTTCATTACATGTGATAAAGATCAAAAGATTTTTGGCTTGGTTCCAGAGGATTGTTAAGAATATAAACTGACCTGTGACTGAGATCAAGTGAATCATTGTCTGTGTTCCAGTAAATAGGGGAGTTGAAAGCAAGTTTCTTACCTGGAAAATCATGCAGCATTTTTGGAAAGTGGTTTTGGTTTCTCTTCTTGACCCCTAGACTTCCTAGCCTTGCCATTGTGCAGACAAATTAATAGCTCAGAACAAATATGGAATTCCTCCAAATCACTTGTTTCAGTGTTGTTTCCTAAGAAAACACTTAGCAATATCATTTTTCGTGATTGTTTCTCTAGTTTCCCTTCCCTCTATATTTTTTTCTCTCATCCTTCTAATGGTGAGCCTTTCCCACTGGGATTGTCCCTTTCTCTGGGACATTACAAGACCTAATTTGATTGGGCTCTGCCAGTAATGATGGATTATCTTAACTGGTTGTTGTACCAAAATTAATGCAGCTTGGGGGTCAATATCTGAGAGTCTTAATAGATAACATTAAAGAGAAGCCAATAAGAAAAATGGAAAGAAAAAAAAAAGCTTAACCTAAGGAACTGGACAATGGGAGCATCCCCTGTTTTATCTGCTTTTAAAACAGGAAACGAGGAAACACAGTCCTTAGGAATCAGTACCTCTCTCCCTCTACAGAAGTACGTCCAAAAGTAGTCGTTATAAACCATTCGTCTCAGCTAGACATTGAAAGATAGGAAAAGTATCATCAGCAAATATTTAATCCAGCAGTGTCAGTCAGTAGCTTATCCTGTGGTTCCTTCACGATCCAAAGCTCTGAGTAACAGTGTTCCAATCTCTGTGAATGCTGGAAAGAAATACTGGCATCAGTTGGGGTGCATATTTCTAACCTTATAGTCTTTAGCATAGTCCAGTGCATATATGAGCTCTACTAAACCATCACTCCTACATCCCATGAGGATGTTTTCTTATTTCTAGTAGGCATAGCTTTAAAAAAAAAAAAAATGCTTTATTGACTATGAAGAAATATGATATAACATAGTGATTCAACAATACCCGTAAACCAAGAAGTGGTTGTTCATAAAAATTACTGTGTACGAGATACATCTTGCTCAACTCCTGAAGTTTCAGGATTATTGCATTCACCTACAGGCAGATATGTTCTGCCTTCCTCATCCAAACTGAGAAGCTATTTTAAAACTTTTTGGGACAAATTCAGACAAATTTTCTTTCTTAAAGATTCTCACACCAAAAAAAAATGTGGTAAGTAAACACAGTGACGTGTTGGAAAGATGTTTTTTGAGTTTAAATTGGAGAAATTATTGTAAACATCAAGCTATATTTTCCCCATAATATTCATTTTTGAATATTTCAGTCTCTTCCAGACTACTTTATTCATAATTGCTGTTCTCTTAGACTAGTGGGAATAGTAAAAGAAAGTGACTCTTTACTGAGTGACAAATACATCCATATACAAAACTCCTAGTTTTTCAGGTATTTTCAGGAAGTTATAACCCCTGATAACTCTTTGCAGACCGCAGAGATGAATAATATTTGTGGATGCATTTTTGAGGCTACTAAACTGGAGAGGTGTTTGTGGCTGTGGGCTTTACCACTCACACAGAGAAGTATGTTTTCCTTATATCTGTCATACAGGCTATATTTTGCATATGTCTTTAATTAGACCGATTTCATATCTTAAAGAGTATGTGACATCAAATAAATAATTTAGAAACTGGAATTAACCATCAAAAGAGAGGGTCAAAATAAGCTCATAGCAGAGTTTTTAACAAATCCTCTGAACCCAAATGCATAGCAAACGTCACATCAGGGACAGACCCTACATGCATTTTATGCCATCAATCAGTTTATGTAACTGCGGGTCATGCTGAAGCACGTATTTTATAAGGGAAAAATATGGAAATTGGTAGGTTTTTGCAGGTCATAATCTGATCCACTTAGCCCTGTAAGACTGCATGGATTCAAAAAGCACTCAGATCTAACCTACATCTAGTCTAAACAGATGTGCTTGTTAGGAGGCAAGTTGCACAAAAGTCTTCATTTTATCAAAATTATCTCATGGACCTGGGGCAAGTTTTTCCAGGGGCAAGTTTTTCCATCATCTACTTCCATCTCTAACAAGAAAAGTCCTTCCTAATTTGGAGCAGTACCCACTTGTCAAAGAGAAGCTGGTGACCGTTATCTCACAGTGCAGACAACAATGTGAGCATAGCTATCAATTTTAATAGAAGTTTTCACCCAATGTGTCCCATAGCTATAGTTTGGGGAGAGTGCAAAGGAGGAAGCCCATCTCCATTCTTCATGGCTGTACTAGGAAAGGGATTTCCTTTTATTATGATGACTATGACCATGATGGTTTAGGTTGAGCCAAATATGGAACATCCCACAGCATCCTTCTGCCAGTTCTCTGACTCAAAAATGACCATTTTCAACCTCCGGATGCTGAAGTCATTTTCAGCCTGAACTGTATCATGATCATCTGCCTTTTCCTAAGAGTAAGGTGTGTGTGTGGGGAGGGGGGTGGGGGGGGGAGAGGAGAGGAAGGGGGGAAATGGGGAAATTGTACTTTCACACCAAACTTCAAATTCTGAACACGACCAGCATTTCAGAAAATGATTCTGTCAATCCTGCAGTCTGTGCTGTGAAGACCAGGAAACAAAAAAAAGCAATATGTCTGTTTTTTCCTTCTCCCCTACTAGGTGTGCTCATGCATTTGTTCACTTTAATGAACAGTTCCTAGAAAGCTCTGCACTTGCTTACCTTGACAGTCAGGGCAGTTATCCCTTAGATGTTGGCAGTTGTGTTTATGCAACAGTGAAACAGGGGTAAAAGTCCCATCACACTCTCAGGCTCAGTGTCACTGGATTACCTGCTGTAAATTAGAAATGTATTCAAAGAAAAAAAGTGACATTTACAACATATTTAGAGAGAGAAAGGAGAAAGTGTCTAGAATATGTATAAGTACACACGTGGGATGTAAAAGTTGTCTTTCCCACCCTTGCTTTGCCTCTTACCTTGTGTCATGGCCCGGAGCAGAAGGGACAGGGAAGTCTGTGGCTTCCCCTGCAGGTGCTGGTCTGCCAAACCCAGTGACAACCTGGCCACGTCTGACGTTTTCTGTCTAACCTGATTTTGATCCTGCCTCCTCACATCACAAAGTTTTGAAAGAGGAAAGGAAAAATTAATGGAGGAAAAAGTAATGAAAGATAAATGGAAAGTCTTCAGCATCTCTAATAATAATTTCCTTCAGGAGCCTGCACGCAGGGGGAAGGAGAGGCAGGATTCATGTTAACACAATGATCCGTGGGGACACAGCTGAAGTGCAATGCCAAATAATGCACTCAGGCTCCTAGTACGACAGCTATTTTTCCACTGTCTTGTGGAAGAACCAGACTTCTGACCTTCTCCTGTTGTTTTTTTCCAGATATTTGGGATGGTGATCACAGGGAACCATCTTAAATCCTGGAGGAGAGCTTAGACCAAAGCTTTATTTCTCAATTCAGTTATGTTTAGAGCATAAAATGGGTTTGTTATTCTCTGGTCCCTTGCTGAAATAGGTCAATGTGGCCTTCCTAGTTAAAAGCTGTCTGCCAATTATACCTTGCTCCAAGCCAAATTTCTGCATAAAAACTGTTGAAATATTAGTACAGGGAAAAGTTTCCTTATTACTCTTTTTTATATTCCAGCAGCACTTAGGGGTTGGATGCTTCTACACCAGGTGCTGTTCAGAAATGCAGTAAGAAGCAGTCCCTCCTTGTAATAAACAAAGCAGACAGAAGGTCAGGAGGAAAACTAAAGAGTGAAACAAGTTGTCCAGGCCGAAAACAGAGGCCAGATCTACTCAGACACAGATGCATGTCAAATCATTCCACTGCATTATGAGATGCACTTGAATCTAGACCTTGCAGGGTGGGAGAAAGTTTGATCATGTATCTAATCCTTTTAACTTAAAGAGGCAGCAAAGAGCTGATCTACAGTACTGATTCCTTTATGCAAAAGACCATGGCAAGTACTGAAAATAATTTAGCAACATCTTACAAGCCAAGAAGCTGTCCGCAACCTTAGATAGAGTGAATCACCAACACCATGAACTGAAATACATCTATTTTGGCCAAAATTTCATTTAAACATGTAGAAGGTAAATATAAAAGAAGATAAATATCACTACTGTTTTTCTGATTCTATAAAATAGATCATTGCACCTTTCTCCGGGACCTCCAGTGGCCCTGCTTGCTTCCAGTTAGGACGTTCTAACCTACATCAGCCCCCATGAAAAACCATCCCAACAGGAGAAGACAATTTACACTCCATAGTTGCAATATTCTGTTCAAGCATACAGGGATTTTTGGCCCTTTTTTTTTACTTAGAAGAATATGGAACACTAATTAGGTTCATTTCTTTCTTTCTTTTTTTTTTTTTTTTTCTTTTCTTCCAGGAGACTTAATGAAGCACAGCCAAAAGGCATTTTTCCTTAAGCAATAATCTGCTTTAATGAACTCTTATTGCACTGGAAATATTTGCATTTTAATCTGTCTGAAATAGAGATTAGGGAAGCAGAGTTCTCATATTGCATAAACACTTCATGCCAGGCAATTTCATTGTATTTTAAAGAAAGAGTGTGATTCATTACTTTTTGTGATCCTGAATGAGGGTGGATAATTTTCCTTCCCTTTTGCATTTCTGTTATCAATGACACAGGACATGATGATATTTTCCATGAACAACCTAATGCCAAAGCCCTTCACACTTTATCTTTGCTCTGTTTCCCATTTTGCTGTAGGAATATGTAGTATCAAAACTTACTCTTGTTTAAACTAAAAGAACAAATCAGGAGCAACTCCACTGCTGTAACTGGAGTAATTCCAGTTGTATATTGACATAACTGATAGCTGAGTTTAGTTCAAAATAGTAAGAAACAAATAAACACTTGCTGACACTGATATGCATCACTAAACCACATATGACTGCTGAAATATACTTGATCTTTTTACAGAAATTTAGTCTAATCCCTGCTTGAAAAATAAATCACAGACAAAAGCAATAAAGATAAGGGACTTCTCAGAGAAGAAAATGCTTACTCAGCCAATTCCACAACTTGGTTACATTAAATAATGAAGTCCACACCTTCAAAAATTGTTTTTATGTCTATGTACATAGACAAAGGTAATCAAATCACTATGCATCTTGAAAATCTATAGATGGTTAGGTTCAGGTTGCTGGCTAACTTACTAACAGTGAGAATTTACCAAAAATGGGGAGAAAAACATTCTATTTATTATGAATATGTAAATCCACACCAGAACTACAGAAATCAGCTCACCTAAAACAGGGTTATTCAAGATTAATCACAACTTTGAACAGAATCCAGCCCAGTTAAATTCATCCAGAACACAAAGAAATCTTGCTTGCAATGATACAGGCAGAAAAGAGCATGTAAAGTGCAGCATTTACGTTTCATTTATTATTAGTTTTTACTGGCAAAAAGACACACTCATCATCAGCCACGGATACCCTGAAGCACTGAGTACATGGTAACCTTTCCTTGCTCAAACAGAGGCTTCACAACACATTGCACATCAGATATCACTTTGGCCTGGCTAATTTAACAAAAGCCACTCTGAGCAGCTCAGTCAAACAGGAAAATGTTGATCTGATGCTCAGACTTTCCTCTTACTCAAGATGGCAGCAGAGATACTATGAGTCACTTAACAGAGCTGGCTCCAGGATTTATTTTCTGCACCTCTATTAGGTCTACTCTCAAGTCACTGGAACCGGATTTATTTTGTGTTGGAGCATGGCAGAATCTAATAGAAAATAAAACAAGAGTCAGGAGATGTTCCCAGATGTTACTTACTGTGTCCTGTTGCTCCTGGCCTTCTCTGCTTCTTTCCACGTAGGAACACATGATGTTTGCACAGCCTCATTAGAGAAGTGACTTGTCTCCAGGTTGCAGTATCAGAGAGACAAAGTGGAGGAGTATCCTGGAAAAGAAGAAATGGTCGATGTGAAACAGATGTTTTCCTTTAATTGCTTATTGCAGATGCAGCCCAGTAACTAATCCACCTGCGATCCTCCCACAGGGATAATTACTTACTCCATGATCCTAGCCAACTGAATTTATGTTTTCCATGCCTCATTATACACATCTCCACTTTGCCCAACAATATGCACCAAGGTGCTGCACAAATGCAAACTTTTATGAACAGCTACATCCTTCTAAACCTCTATCTATATTTAGGAAGCTTTTTCTACCTTTCTTCATATCATCTTTCAAAAGTAAAGCCCCCTGTAGAGCTCTTCCCCTAAAGTGTTGCTTCTGATGGACTGGGATCACGAAGCTTTCAAAAAGAAGAAAAAGTCTCTAATCATAACAAAGTATTGTTAAAATACAAGCATTTTTGAATGTGGTTACTTATGTAGAGAGTAACATATGGGAAGTAAAGCTTTGCAGAGAACCTATGGATGTTAATTGAAATTAATAGTGGAATCAGGATACGTTGCAGTAGTAAGGCCTATTATTCACATCTGAAGTCCCTGTTACTTCTACAAGCAGTTTTGTCATAAGAACTGAACAGAAAGACACAGTGAAGGTTTCTGAACATTCTTAATTAATGTTAATTTTTAATTTGCTTCTATTTTATTCTTAAATGCATTTAGGGCAGAGCAAGGGCCAGTGTTTATATATAATTTTCCCCATTCATTTCAAGACTTGCACTCAATGGTGCTGGACAGTGAGGATAGATAACAGTCTCAAGTTGTGCCAGGGGAAGTTTAGATTGGACATTAGGAAGAATTTTTTCATGGAGAAGGTGGTTAAGCATTGGAACAGGCAGCCCAGGGAAGTATTAAATACCCTGGAGGTATTTAAGAGATGTGTGGATTTGGCACTAAAGGACACGGGTTAGTGATGAGACTCAGTAGTCAATGGCTGGACTTGATGATCTCAAAGGTCTTTTCCAACTAGATGATTCTATGATTCAAAGCACTTAGCAGCAACTTCTGTTTGTGCTTAATATGCAATTAACAGTTAAAATCAGCTAATTGAATCAAGAGCAATGCAACCTGCAGTGTGTCACCTATACAAAGCCACCCCTGAAAGCAGGGCCAGCTCATGTCTCTGATGCTGCATGGTGGCACAGCTGTTCTTACTGCCAAGGAAACTGAGCTTTGGTAGAGCAGTTGGCAGGCAAGCAACGGGAGTTGAGATATTCTTTGACCAAACTTGATAGGACTGGAAAAAGAACGTGACCTGAGCCACAAGCTTTGTTATGGTCCTCATTAACACAGCCTTCATCTTTTCTTCTTTTCAAGGGAGCTACTTATTTCTCTGCCTCAGGCAAGAGCAAGAGACAGATGGAGATAATTTAGTCCTACTTCACTAATGTTGATGTCTCTGGATTTAATATTGGCCTTTCTGGAACCCTACTATGACTCTTTGGCTTGGCGAGGTGGCTCAGGTAGTTATCCTGAGAATAATATTTTGTTAACCAACTGGCTGCAGATCTATTTCAAACATGAAACAGGAATCTGGTCAGCCAGGACTAACAAAACCTCCTCAGGCTCTTCCACTGCTTGATGCTCAGCAGCCACCAACTCTGGGGAATGTCTTCAAAAGCTTTTCAGTGAGCAGCTTAACTAATGCCTGCTGGAGAAACACACAAAGCAAAATGAAGTCTTCAGAGAGAAAGTCCAATGGCTGGAGAGATGGGTGGATGCTGCTGGGTACAGCAGAGAGGGAGCTGTATAGAGCAGACTCGTGCTTTGTGTCCTAACAAGGGAGGTCACCATGGACTAGGCTCAGCAGAAGGCACGTCCAGATTCAGCCAGCCTGAATGCCACAGCTGTCCCTGCGCCTAGCATTTCCCATTGCCTCTGGGGACCTATAAATACCTGATTCAAAGTGCCTAAGCAGCAGCCAAAAGAGAAGCTGGGAAAGAGCCCAGATACAGCAAGTCTTAAGGAGGACAATAAAAGGCCAAGACATATCACAACAGCCTTTGTTCACACTGCCATACCTGGAGACAGTGGCATGTCACAAGCAAGAACCTAAGCATTGATATCCCTGTCAAACCATCAGAACTGGAAAAAAAAAAATGTTCCATACAAGATTGCTCAGGCAATACTTCACCTGCTCTGTCCAGGGATACTGTTAGCTTTGCATTATCTGCTGTTCCTTGTTTGCAGGATAACTTGGTACAGAAGAACATCAGCGATGGGAAGGACTTACAAGGTATGGCCCCATCAATGTTACACAGACTTTCACAGGTATTGGTGCACCAGGACAATGAAGGAGCATAGTGATTTGGAACCTGTAAAAAAAAAAAAAACACACCCCTGTGAACTTACAATGACTTTAACTTCACCTAATAGCACCTAAACTTCCCTCAAATGTGTTCACTACAAGAGCAAAGACAGATTTAAAATATCTTTTTTTATTTCAGTTTCAGTAGCTTAGCTCCAATTCATGTGCTATATATAACAAATTGAGATAAATTTCATTGGAGCCTCTCAAAATCTCACCTGCTACATCAGTGGCTGTTATTACACACACTTACAGACAGGTAACTGCAGTCCCATTGCTTGTCAGTGGTGTGGAAAAACCCTGGACATAACCAAGCAGTTTCAATGTCTGCTTTCACAAAGCAAAATTAGCTGCAATACTTCAGATGAAAGAAATAAGACTGGTATGAAACTCTATCTAATCAAATTATATGAAAGTAGCCTTTTAGAATAACCTTATCTCATGCTCTGTGAAAAACCTTATCTTCACGTTTACTGACCATTTGAGAGAAATCCAAATTATCTGAAATTTTATCAAAATAAATCATCTAAACAACAATAAAAAAATCATTTTAAAATGGACAGTCATTCTTTCTAGCCATCTGGAACACATTATTACTTTCCAAGTAGCATTGTTGATATTGAAAGTGTTGTAACAATATACTTTTCTAATGTGGTTCCACTGTGGCTCCATCCATAATAAAATTGATCTGTGCCAAAGAATCCACTTAGCATGACAAGATCCCCAAAACCTGGATTATTTGGGTAAGACTCTAATTTGATATTTTGAGTTTCATGGTCTGATGAAATTTCTTATAATATTTTTAAAGGAGACCAAAGAATGGGCATCATCTAATCTGGGGAAATGTTTTTACTGAAGCATACAACCTCCAAATTCTTGTAAATCCTAACACCACTAAGGAGAGATGGAGACTGAAAAGGAGGAAAATATCCCATTTCCTGCCTTGCAAAGTCTAAAATAACCATAATTTTGTATTTTCTTGACTATTGAGTCAGGTCTGCAGTATGGCCATATTCCAGATTTAGCTGTATACTACAGAAAAGGGACAACACACAGCATTCCTGTGGATAAACACCACTCAAAGCAGAATGTCTTTATGCTAGGATACTCAGAAAGGTCTGATAACCTTAAAACAAAACTTACCAGCAGAATAAACTGGGCACTCACCATTTTTTAGATCAAGTCCATCAAAGGGTGCCGTTCCATGTTCCCAAATAAAGGTATTTCTGCCATGTTAATTTTGTTTGATGCTGGGAAGGTGTCTTTTTTCCTAAAAAAAAAAAAAAAAAAAAAGAAAAAAAACATTTCCACTTTGGCCACTATGCAGATATTTTTTTGTAGCTATGTTGCATATCCCAGCACTGCTTCCTCTTAAAGAAATTATTGAACTTAGAGAGATGGGTATCATAAGATTCGTTTCCCTAGGAAAGTATACTAAAATCTGTAGAAGTTCCCCAGACTTTGCTGCCAAATTTCCACCCTATCATAGAATCATAGAATCATAGAATATCCTGAGTTGGAAGGGACCCTTAAGGATATTTTTACACTCCTTTTGCCCATATGCTGATGCACTGTGCAATCCTGACCTACTCATATAACCCCAGTTTATCTAGCTGTACATATTTGTGATTAGGCAAAAAAATAGTTATCCTTTGTAAAATCTTTTCAGAGCTTCATAGGGAAAAACAAGGGGCAATTTCAAATAAATAAATAATAATTGTCATAACAGAGCCTGTTAGATGCTGGAGATTATCAGTTCCAGCTGTTCTATCAGCCAAATACTTCGAAGCAATTTAGCCCACAGCATCAAATCTCATTGAAAATCTTCTCAGAAAAAGGATGGGAAGAGTCAAAGCCATTTCAGAACGCCTTTGAAGTCTTAGTCTTCACCATCAGTCTGCTCTTCCCTGAGGTCCCTTTACTGTGTGTTAGCCCAAATGCCATCCCTTCTCAGAGAATTAAAGAGCTCTGAGTGCAAGTTCACATTGTTGTTTGCCCACACTGAGAAATGAAGCCCATGATTCGCAAGAAGCCACAATACCAGCAGCAAAATGTTGTCCGTGTGGTTGTTGGCAACCACTGGGACAAAAGATGGCTTGAAGTCATAACAGGACCTGGGGTTCCCCCCCTCCACCCCTGCCACCGTTGCTGAGATCCAGCTGTGAGCCTTTCTTCTGGCTTTCTTTATTCTCTGTGTTGTCTGATACTAGAGATCCCACCAGTCTACTAGAAAAAAGAGAGCTGCCACTTTGTGCTCTGCCTGCCAAGAGATAGGGCAATAATTTATCTAGCCAATATGCCAAGGACTTGCCAAAATTTTCAAAAGCAAGTTTGTTATAAATGATTCTTCATGGGGCATTTCCTTCACTTGCCAATGGAGGAAAGCAAAGAAAAATGACTCTGAGCTTCACTCCTTTTCTTTGGACAACTCGAGATTTATTGTAGGCGAACCGAGGAAGATTCCAAGACATTACTCCTATAAGGGAAGGTAACTCAATCTCCAGTAAAAATAAACAGCCATGTTTAAATAAACCTTCTGCAAATTGTTACTGCTCTTTTCCCCAGAAGTCGGGGGAACATTTCTTTCGTCTGATATTGTGCTACTGCACAAGATGCTGCTAAGTGCCTGCTTTGAAGAGCCAGGAGTCTCCTCTGTTTTGGGTGGCCTGTTAAGTCATCAAAGGATAAAAGGCAGAGAACAAAGGGAAAAATTAAAGTATTATTAGCTGCACTTGAAGTGCCTGACAGATGCTCATTTGCTGCTCATGGAAACCGTCTTCCACATCAGAGCAGAGATTTGCTCAGCCCAAAGCCTGCTCTCATGGCCAGGCTAATGGGTGTATGTATCGAAGAACATATGTGCAAGGTCTTCCCCTGATATACCCTCTTGGAGGCCAGCGGTCAGTAGTTTAGGGACTTCCCACAACTCTTACATGAGTAGTGTAGTCAATAAATCACAATAACACTGGGGCCACATACCCTACTAGTGTCTGAGGACTTCACAGCAATGAATCATGTCCCTTATAGAAGCCTTGAGAGACAAAGCTCAAGCCGGTGAAATAAAAATGGCATTACAATTGTCTCATTTCATCAGTGATGATGAAAAGACTCACCAATAGTTAATAGTGAGCTGAGCTACTCTGCTTAGCTGCAAAGTAGGCTAAATAGCAGAGGTGCCACAGCTAGGGTGCTATGGCAGGAAGGGAAGACTTGTCTAATTCACTCCTTGTGAGATGCTTCATGCATAACTTCAGACAAATCAAGCAGCATTAAATCCCCCGATGAGCCAAGGCAGCCAGGATATCCTACAGCGTTAAGCAGATCACTGCTGCCAGGGTTTCTTTTCCAGTCCGCGGAGACTGGACTTGGCTCTGTGAGGCCCTGTACTCGGCTCTGGTGAGGCCGCACCTCGAGTACTGTGTTCAGTTTTGGGCCCCTCGCTACAAGAAGGACATCAAGGTGCTCGAGAAAGTCTAGAGAAGGGCGACGAAGCTGGTGAGGGGCCTGGAGAACAAGTCCTATGAGGAGCGGCTGAAGGAGCTGGGCTTGTTCAGCCTGGAGAAAAGGAGGCTCAGGGGCGACCTTATCGCTCTCTACAGGTACCTTAAAGGAGGCTGTAGCGAGGTGGGGGTTGGTCTGTTCTCCCACGTGCCTGGTGACAGGACGAGGGGAAATGGGCTAAAGTTGCGCCCAGGGAGTTTTAGGTTGGATGTTAGGAAGAACTTCTTTACCGAAAGGGTTGTTAGGCACTGGAACGGGCTGCCCAGGGAAGTGGTGGAGTCACCATCCCTGGAAGTCTTTAAAAGACGTTTAGATGTAGAGCTTAGGGATATGGTTTAGTGGGGACTGTTAGTGTTAGGTCAGAGGTTGGACTCGATGATCTTGAGGTCTCTTCCAACCTAGAAATTCTGTGATTCTGTGAGACAGCAAGACACCTTTGGACTGGCCTCCAGAACAGCTGGCACGGGAGGAAGGAGATGCTGGCCAAGGGAAAATGCCAGCAGAAGAAGTATGCCTTAAGCCACAGCCCTCACGGGAAATTAGGTGCTCCAGTTGCTGGCTCCCAGTCTTACTGTGAATCTCCATGGCAGGATAAATCTCCAGACTCCTTGCCCGGATCATGAGAGCCACCCCTTGCCTTATGCATTCAGTGAGCAATGCTGTGAGGGGACAAACCTTTGAGGCATGAGACATCTCTCTCTTCCCTGGGCCAGGAATTATGTAAATATCTTGTGCTGTGTGCTCAGCCTCTGATGACAGCCCTTTTCTCCACTTTCACCGGGCAGTGCAGTCATGCTGATGGTCATTCTCCCTCCATGACAGAGCACGATGACTGCAGAACCTTGGGCCCACCTTCCTCTGGTATCCAGATTCTTCTCGAGAAGGGAGGTCAAAAAGAAGAGGACCCAAATTCTTCATGGAGGAGTGCCCATGGCCCAGGAATGGGAATGAAGAGAGCCAGACACCTATATTTCTGCTTCCACTTTTCTTAAGGGGGGTGGTGGTTGGTTTGTCCAGAGGCAACGGTGTGATAGGGTCCCAGAAGGGGACATCCCGATGCCTCAGTGTCCTCATTGTGGAAATTAAGGTGTCAGTGGACTTTTAGGGACTTTCTGACTAGGCAGCAGCCAAACAAGGGGACATTAAGGATCTATACTTTGGACTGAGACATGCTGAGCTAAGCCCCTACCAGGCAGCTACTTCCTTCTGTGGTTTCAGTCCCAAATGCCTAACTTGTCCGTGTATGAGATTCAGCTCATTGTCCCAAGCCCCCGCAAGGCAGGGAGGTAACACCTGAAACCCTCTTGCAGCACTCCTAAACCACATGGGTTGGATAAATAACCCTGCAGGAAAGCTCAATTTCAAAATATTTTGCAGTGAAAGTAAAATATTTCAGCATGAAAGTACAACATGTTCTTCAAAGTACATTCTTGTGAGTACATTTTGTTGTGATCTTTTTGTATCATTTTCCAGATTGATTATGAATGTATTTATTTTTTACAAACTAAGATCTGCAGAGTGGGTAGAAAAGCCCCTTCCGAGTTACGTCCTCTTGCTTCTCTGTCTGTGCTGGCCCTTGATGGTTTCTAAGAACAGTGTGAATTGTCTCATACTATCTAATGCAGCTCCAAAAAAACCACTTGAAAGAACTCAGAAACCATCATCATAAACTGACTGAGGGAGTATTTTAAGAACCCAACTCAAATTTCTTTCAGAGACAGATATATCACTCAGCTACAGGGCTTTTTTTTTTTCACAGGATAGGTAGTTTTATTCCCAAAAAAATAGAATACTAATGCTTTTTATCCCGGTTCTCTCTGGCTGTCTTTCAAGTTTCCATCATTTTGCAACCTAGCAAGGATTAAGAGACTTCCTGATGTCCTCCTCCTTCCTGAAAAAGAACACATGGCTGACGTACTCTTTTTTTGCTTGCAGTATTCAGGCACACAATCAATGGGGATGTCTTGCCTGCTTTTTGTTTGGTGTTACATCTTTTACTGCACCTGCTGAAACAGTCTGATAAAATGCGGTGCCAAGGCAGGAGATTTGGATCAGGGTGGATTTTAGGTGGGCAATTAGCTTCTGTTCCTGCATTAGTTCCCTGCTCCTAAGCCCTTCTAAGCTTGTGAAAACCGAGCATGGAGTTCCTTCTAATAGGGAGAACAAAACAGAGGAAAGAAACTATGGGTCTACATGGTAAAAGAGTTACGCTTTCTCTCAATTTGTTAAAACATGGAGCAGATTTGGATTAATGTGATGAGGCATTCTCCTTAATAGGCCTGATTCAGAAAGTACCGCTTACCCTAGGCCTGCCTGGACAGATCACCACAGAAAAACTGGATGAATACCCACTAATTAAAAAGAGTATATGTATTGAAAGATACACACCAGTCAGCCATCAGGCTGCTGTAAATGATTATTTCATACCTGATCACCATAGTAGTCACAATGTGGCTACTGTGGCACACTTACTACTCTGCCCCTTGGCATCTTTTATGGCTTTATCTGCAGACATTCCTAGAATCTGAATAATCAGGGTGTCTTCCTATGAGGTCAGGCAATCCAGCCCCACCACCACCTTGCCTGAAGCTACCTTCAGCTCCCATCAGCCAGACTTGCAGCATCATGCTAAGAGCACCCACTGCAGGAAACAGAGAGATGTGTGTTTAGTCTGTCTTCCAATAAATGCTTCATACAAAGTATCTGAGTATCAGCTAAAACTTCTAAATCCTCAACACTGCCATACTTTAAGCAACTTTAAGGTCCCAGGCACAGATATTTAGCTGTTTAAGAACATTTACTGATGGAAAGTAAGACTTGTTTGGCAGCTTTGGCACTTTAAGAGTGGTAAAATAGGACTAATTCTTCAGACCCAGCTTAAAGTAACTTGGCTGACCTCACCTGGGCAGTGGACAGACAAACACGGACCTCAGCATACTTCCCACACATGTTTGAAGACAAACTCCCTCATTGACCTCACTGAGTCTGTTTGTGTGCACTCCCCACATCATAACTGAGAATATTAAAGTCTCTCAGAAAACTACAGACCTCTCTGTCCTTGAGGACGATTTTTCCCATTTGACTGCCCTAAAACTTGGGACTGTATCTGCAGTTTCAAACTGGTGATTAATCTGAAACTGAATGAACTACAGCATTGTTGGACCCTTCAAAACTAGACCACCATGTAAGCTTTCATTATATACTTTATTCATACTTACTCTCTAGAGAAAGTCCCCAAACTTGAATTATAACAAAAGGGAGAGTTACTGTAAGGAGAAAGTGCAAGCTAAGTGCATTCTATTTTTTACTTTCAGTTGCTGCATTATGGGCATGAAGCCAAGAACAAATTCTTCAATAAAAGCTCAGCAATGTTATGCTTTTGGTGTCTCACTGCAATGGTTTTCAGATGGACAGACATAAAATAATCCCACATCAAAGACATGTGACATGCTGTTTTTATCCCTTTTTGATGTGCCTGCCATCAGGTAAGGTCCAAGAGAGGCAGATATGGAGGAAGTGGTGGAAGGATGGATAAGTCATCTAGCCAAAACCCACTCCCATTTCACCCAGTTCATTCAAACGAGAAGTGAAAATTATTACAAACATCTGCACCTTGCCACTCAATGTTATTTTTCAAGATATTATTCAAACAATATTCCCAATAGGTTGCTACTTGCAGAAGTGCCCTGTTGTAAAGCCTGCCATCAAAGAGTTGCAGAATAACCGGGTTTGCCAACAGGACCAGAAATGGGATGGGGAGGAAGATGCTCTAAGAGAGACTTTTTGCACTAAAGATAGAACCACCAGTAAGAATTACTGTTATGCAGAAGCACAGGAGAGGAAGCTGCACTTAAATTCAACCAACAGAGAATGACTGAGCTCCTCTGATGCTTCTCTCATTGAAATCCAATTTTTGAAGTCCAAAAGTAAGGCAGAATTGGAAAAACACCATGTGATTTTCAAGCACTTGCTTATCCCCGGAGTCAAGTGTACGGCAGACCACCTAAAGACATGAGAACTGCATAAGGAATGAACCTGTATTGAATTTCCTTGATTGATTTGGAATGATAATACATCTCCCTCCCACTGCCAACACAATATATGGAGTACATACGTCAGTGTGAGCTGTCATGTCACCCAGCCACAGTTCACCAGCCTCTGGAAGACACAGACTTTGGCTTTTGACTAGTACAAATGCCCTTGAAGAGAAGCAGCATCAACCTAAAATCTGTTTTAAAGAACAGATTGACCTGGAGGAACTGAATCAGAGGAGAGTGAATTCCAGAAAATATCAATGGAAGAACAATGTTCTTGTCCCTCCCAGCTGCAAGAGGCGAAAGCCAAATTCTGAATATTGCAGATCAACCATTTCAACACATCTAGGCAACAAGATACCCATGAAGTTAAACAGAACACTCAGTCACTCACTTCCAACCTAAAAAAAAAAAAAAGGAATTTCTTGCCTTGTATTTCCTGAAATGTGGATCACTGTTAACAGGCCCTTGTAGCCGAACAACAAAACCACAGCCGTACCACACACAATACCTCTGGCTTCAGCAGGCAGGAAGAAGGAAGACTCTGATTTCTCTTCTGTCCCCAGAGAGGTGCCCACTTCTGACGTGTTGTTGCCAGCCACCGGATACACCATAATTCATGTTCTCTACCACAGCCCTTTTAGAAGCAGTGGAGGAAGATGTTTCTCAAAGGCTTCTGTATTCCAGGAATGAAAACATGAGATCAGATTTATTCAGGGGTTTCTTCCAGGGATGGTAAAAAGAAACAGGAGAGTTGGAAAGGAGAGAGCATTCCCAGTAGGTGAGGTCCCTTCTGAAAGGTCCAGTATAACATGTCAGTATTATCCTAGTAGTGTGGCTTGCATTGAAGATTTCCTTTTACTAATGAAGTTGAAGGCTTATACCTGAACTCTTCTATCCCCAGTAGCTATAATGTCAGAATAAAAACTCATCTCCAAATCTGCTTTTTGTTTTGCAGGTATAAACATGAAATACAAAAAATTGCAATTGCAGCCAGAATTCTGACCTTGCTCTATAGGTAGTCTTTTCTCTTTTGGGAGTGGAAAGAAGTCACCCTGAAAACCTTCCGTTGTCCTAAGTGTGACTTTCTTTAGACTTTCTTTAGTCTGGGATTTTGTCCTATGTAGTTGTTGAACATGTCCTAGGGGAGGTCTGAGGGTTGTTTGGCTCCAGCTGAGAGGCAGGACAGCAGTCTCATGCCTTGCATGCAATACAGGGACATGTCCTCCAAGGGGTCTTGGTTAGTCCATGTCCTCTGTCTGGGGAATACGTGGGTCTCTACTGTGTGACACAGGCTGGAGTTATTGGTGGGACATCTTCCAGCCTGGCCATTTCTCTAACAAGAACAACAGCTTAGAAGTTTTCCTTTGGGTTAAGGAGATTTTTGGAGCACAGACTGCTTCTTCTTACCATACTGTCGATAAAATGAGTCCTAGGTCTCAGCAATCTTCTGGCCACTATAGTCATGCAACACAGAACATCCTCCACGTTATTTAACCTCCCCTGTGGGATGGCAGGAGGCAGGGAACAGGAGGACCACAGTGGGTGTGCAGGAAGAATGAAATGATCTACAGCTCTTCTAATATGGGTGTTTATTACTTTCCCAATACGATAAAGCTGAGATCAGTCCCTTTCATGCCAGCACTACTGAACTGTTATTGTTTCCTGCGTGTGGAGGTGGAAATGTCGTATTTTAGCCTTGATTTACTTTTTTCTTATTTTGTGGTTTCTATGTACTAAAACTGACTAAAAGGAGTAATGTGTCCTCTGTAATGGTCAGAAGCAGCTGCCTTCATGTGATCTCACACGCCATTAAGCAATGCCAGGCTTGAAGGTGTTATTGGAGGAAGCATTTTTATTGCCAGGATTCCTCATGTCTCTGGGGCTGAGGCACCAGAGCAGGCTGATACCACTGCTCAGAGTAACAGCAAAAACCTTTGCACAGCTATTTAGACCAAAACTGGCTGAGTTCCCTGTTAAAATGGATTTCTGCACATTTATGATTTGCATGGGATTTTATCACAACATGCAAGTCTTGGTTTTCTGTCTCAATTATGAGAACTCAAGCTCAAGCACACAACTCTCTCTGCTTCATTTTTCTGGAACCAGCATTGGCACAAACAACTCTCTTCCAGTATTTTCCTTACCAGACCAACAAGCCATACCCTTTTTTTTGAAACCAACTGGCTTTGGTTTTCATTACAGACTGACTAATCTGGCACTCACTGCTCCTCACAGGAGGCCAGCGATGACATGCAGTAATAGTGAGAGTCACCAAAGTCAGTGCAGAAACCAACTGCCAGAGATATGATTTCAAACCTCAGATAAACCTAAGCTATTCTTCTGTAATACATGCAAGAAGTCTGGTGAATCTGAGAAATGCCAGGTAAGGGAGAGCTGGCAGACAAGGGCCCTGATCCAGTGAAAAAACTTGAGCAATTGTGACGTTATAATGATATAAGTAGCTCTCATAGTAAAATCATTAGTTTTATTAAGATCTTTTCTACCAGTTGTTATGACAGATGCAAAAGATAGACTTCAATTTTTTCTCCTTCCACTTATAAGCCCATCTAAAATGACAAGGCATTGAGGACTGCAGTAGATATCCTAAACAGGGTATCTAGGACACGTGTAATTTGCCTAGCAAATGGTACCACAGATGTACCTTTACATAAGCAATTACACATGGCCACTGGGCAACCTGATCTAGTGGGTGGCATCTCTGCCCATGGGTTTGGAGCTAGGTGATATTTAAGGGACAGTTTTGAAACCTTTCTATGATTCTATGATCTCGCCAGCCAAATATCAACTAGCCTGTTAGGAGCACAGCTTTACTCTTGATGGCTCCCCTTTGAGCCTGACAGTATTATGAAAAGAATGAATTGACCCAAATAGTTTCATTCTTTGTTTAGTGAGACCATGTTTAACTGTCATAAGTCCTAAAGACTTCAGATTCTTCTAAAATTGGATTTTCTTTTCTGAACTACGGGATTTAGAAAAATCACATAAAACAAGATGAGTTTAACAATATAATTTCTTTAAGTGAAGTTTGCAGTGGAGACTAGCATGCACAGGAACAAGAGGGAAAAAAAAATAAAAAAATAAAAAAACAAACAACAACAACAAAAAGGAAAACAAAATGAAGGGCTCAGCAGTGCAGCCACTCTTGTCCTCGTATACTGAGAAACCACCTAATGGAGCAGGGAAACTCAAGTCACTGAAGTCTTTTCTTGCAAAATTAATGCCCACTTTGAGGAACTCCAGGGAGATATGACATCTTCTCTGGACAAAAAAACAAATAGGAACTAGGAAAATCCCAGCAGAAGTTACCAGACTCCTGAAGTCATATCATGTGATTTAAAACATCTGTTGGGATACTGGGTGGGGAGAAGTCTTCCCTAAGAAATAGATCAGGAATTTCTTTTTCATTCCACTTTTCAGAACTCTCCCAAGAAAGAGTTGGGGTTTTTTATTATTCTTAATTTTTAAAGTACAATGTATTCTTTAAAAGCTAGAATGTCCTCTCCTACCTTCTTGTAGAAGCACAATAAAATAAATTTCTTTACTTTTTTTTTTTTCTTTCTTAAAATAAAACTGGAAATATCTTCAATTTACCCTCTGTTTTTGCCAAAGTATTTCAGGACCATAAGCCTTCCTACAAACCTAGATGAGGTGTTAAGGGCAGAACTAAATAGAAATGTGTTTATTACATTGTAAACAGAAATCAAACAGCGACCCGGTGGTTGCCAAATTGTCGTTTGTGATGGGCAAATCTCATGACAGCAGCTGCATCAGTTGGCTGATGTAGAGCAATCAGCATTGCACATATGGCATAGCCCAAGGGCCTGAAGCTGCGACCAGCACGGTGGTGGCGCATGGTGCATCCTTGAGCCATGGCACGAGGTTTTTGGAGGACACCAGGCAGCCCCCACAGGAGGCTCTAGGTCTCAGCGCAATCCCTGCATCCCCCCCAATCACTTCTCAAACTGGGCCTCGTGCCAGCACATAGCTGAAGTCTAACCATCTAAACCACAAGGAATTCCTCTTGGTCTAGCCAGGAGAACTCAAATGTTCCTTTTTTATACATTTTTAGTCTGGAATTTCTCAAGAAAAATAAAAAAAACAACTTTGCAATGACAGAATGCCTATGGGAAGAAAAAAAAGTTACTCCTGTCCGACTGAGGGAGACCTGAGAAGCTATCTGGGCTGCGAGGGTTTCTGCATGTTCTCCATTCTCCTGCGTGGAGACGATGTTCTTTCAGGAGCCAGCTATGAGTGATACATAATCTAAGATCAATTGTAATACAAGGAGTTTTAAAGGAAAGTCTCATTTCCACAACCAGTTAAATTAGCATCTCTTAAAAAGCAGGAGAAGGCATCACCACAGCCTCTTTGGGGAGCCAGGCTAGGGAGTATGGCTCTTTGCTGAGGCACAGTCTCTTCCCAACCTCTGCTGTTTTCCTGAAATTACACCTACCAAGCAGTAATCCATGGTTCTTCACTATCTCAAATCCTATGTGAATCTAGGAGATAAATGATCTTTTCTTTTTCCATAAATAGAAAGATAGGAAGGATGGAAACAGAGCATTTATGCTGCTTTAGACACTGCCAGAAGGGTTTGCAGGTTCTCTGCACTATAGGATTATGTTGCTCTGTGCCTAGAAACATATTTACACTGGGAACAACAGCCTCTGTGGAAATGGCATCTTTTTATACTGACAAACCACTGGAAAAATTAAGCCACAGACCTTGATAGACTTTTGGACTGCACTGAAAAATAGAACTGAGGAAAACATGAAGCTTGAATTGGCATCAGTAATGGTGAAAAGCTCTGGCTTTGCTAGCAAGTGGCTTTCAAAAGCAACTTCCACCATCTGTGTGCACCCTCCCATAGCCCACCACTTGGGTCTCCTCTCTTTCCCCCTGTGGAGATCTGGTGCTGGAAGGACAGGTCTGATCCACTTTTCTCTCGTCATTTTGTCTTTCTGGGTAATACTCAGACACATCCAGATAGTTTTTGAAGTCTGTTGAAGCAAGATTAGGTCTATTAAATACAAGTAGCCCCTTTAATTGCTTGCAAGATAGTATTATTACTGGTTTTCTATTAAATTCATAGTTCATTCATCCCAGCTTTCTCTTAAGTTCTCCCCAGAAAAAGCCACACCACTCATTGTTTCCAGAAAATTAGATCTAGCAGCAAACACCACAGTGTGCATCTTTCCTTCTGCAGTTACTCATGGAATTGTTACCTACAGTCTTCATCGGCTGATTTGAAAATATCAGATTAATTATATTGGCCGTTAATTACCCTGACCATGGACAAAATTTCCATACACAGGGAAAAGCTTACTGATTCTAGTCTGATATTGCTCCTTTATGGGGTTGCAGTTTTTCCAAAGGGGTCAATCTTCCTCAAAGGTAGGAGGAAAATTTGGCCTGAGGACAGGAAACATGCTGGGTTTTCTTTTTATGTCACATCCCTCTCTTTGAGAACATTTTCACTTTCGAGGGCAGGTCTGACAGTATTTTCCTTCCAGGTTTCAGCTGTAAACCCTCTTTGAACAAGCTGCCATTGCCCTTCACCGGGACTATTCATCCTGACGCTGGTAACTCTTATTTGTCATGGCTGAGGAAGAGAAGTGAACTGAATCACACACATATCCATTTCTAAGAAAGGCTTTTAAAACTCTCCAAGATGCTTTCATCTAAGTGTTCGAATGTATCATCTGAACAGCTGCCAGACCACCAGCCATGAAGCACTATCAAGTGTAACAATTCTTTGTTATTTTATATATTCCTCCAGTTGGAAATCATCAAATATTGCTAGCATTCTGTGGAAAAACTGTTTTGAAAAAGCAGGGACATTTTTAAAAAGAAATAGGATTTTAATCACATAATAATAGGCATGATCATCCTCAGATCTGTTATTTCTGCCACTGTTCCTAGAATACCACTGAAAGGAATCAAATTCAAATTTATCTTTCTCGGACTAGACCGACACCACCTTTACTTCTATTACTGCTGGATTTGAGTAATGATTTTTCTCTTAGTGACTGGAAAGGATTAAAAAAAGTAAAAAGTTCACAAATTCTGAATGTTTTGGATCATGTTAACTCTATGACCTTAATAAAAGTGCACAGAGCTCCTATTAGCATGACAAAAACTCCATCTCTGCAAGGAAGTAGACAAAAGTAGGCAAAAAGTAAATGACAAAGAACATTATTTTATAAACACCTGCCCATTTTCATAGCTCTTGGTGTGCTTCCACTTGTAGACATTTTGCATACATATTTTACCATTTCCTCTGCATACCTCAGAGGCTGCAATCATAACAGCTCTTATTCTAGTGCCTCTGCTTTCAGATAACAATCAGTGACAGACTCAGTGAAATTGTCAGGAAAAGAGGTAATTTTCTTCTGCAGATATCCTTGTCTACCCTGACAGCCACTGAGGAAGTCTAAGCCAGCACAGGATGCTACCAATTCAACCCTGCATTTGCATTTTCAGGTCACTCAAGTGCTCTGAGAAGACTTCTTGGATGAGGGACAAACCACAGGAGTCTCAATAGATTCAGGCAGCTGGTCTTAGCTGGTTGGGGAGATGACCACTACTTATGGCACAGAAATAATGCCCAGAAAGCATCTGGCCTTGATGGACAATTACAGAGCTAAGAGTTGAGGAACACCAGATTCTGTAATTCTGTAATTCTCTTCTTTAGAATATAAAATACTAAAAGCCACGGCTTCCCTAAACGTGAACTTGCATTGAACAGAAAGTACTGCCTGCTGTTTTCATTCTTGGTGATCTAACCCATATTAAGTCAATATTATCAAATGAAGGCTGCCAAAACGTAGCCCTCTTCTTCACCCTGAAGAACTTACATCTTAAACTAGATTAGGTTAAAACAAATAATAAAAAATAAGTAATAATAATAATTTTTAAAAAGACATGCATTGCTTCCTGGGGAGAACACTAGAAGGACAATTTCTCAAGATGTTATTTAGAGAGATTTGAAGGAAAGTGAGAACCTGCAAGGTATTACAGCTTTTAGGGAAATGAACTGAAAACACTTCTTCATGCTGTGGAAAAGACTGAAACTTTGTTGAAAAACACAGAGATGAAAACAAAGAACCTTTTGTTTTCAAGCTGTTTCCAAAGCATTTTTAATGGTTTTGACAACCTTTTGAAGGAAAGGGTTTGAAAAATCCCATACTCAGCCTTACAAAGAGGAACATGAGGGCAGGCTACTGCAAAGGAGGATGGAGTTACCATCCTCCTTTGGAGTTACAAAGCCAAAGGTTCCTCACAATATGGAGACACAAAGGTCTAAAAGTCAGTTTTGTCTAAAAGTCAGTTTTGGGTGAAGATGGCCCAGTCTCTCTTTGCCCCTGACAGCCCATCATCAAAGCAACATGAGATGATAACCCACGTGAAGTGATTCTCGTGGGTTTGATGCAGAGTAGCGAGGGGATGGGCAGGCAGTATCTATGAAAAGGCCAGGTTTAACAAAATAAAAACCATAAGATAGACTGTTCCTAGGGACTGGAGGCTGGGTGTGAGATAAATCAGCAGAGCCTGAAGAAAATCTGTAAGCTGCTCTCCGTGCTGCTTTTCAGGTCGTAAAAAGAAATATGCTGCACATGAGGAATTTGTTCTTAGCTCTGCTTCATGAACTGGCAGGCAACAGCCTTAAAAAAAAGCCCCTGTCATTTTTATAGAAAGAAAATATTTTAACAAGATGTTCTGTCCTTGAACAGGGGCTATTCCCCACATCCCTGGGCACTTGATTCCAGAGCCAAACTGAAGTGTGTGGGGCTGGAAAACAAGCAATTGAGCAGTGGCTGCCTCCATACAACACACCAGCTGCAAACAGGAGCTGTTGAAATAGACTTTTTGTCAAGCACTGTGTAAATCTCTGCTCCTGAAGCAGCTCCCTGAAAACCAGCTGCTCCTACCCCTGTTCTTGGTGAGCAGCTCCATTGGACAGGGAGCTTACCACTACTGGCTTCAGGTGTGTTTTGCATTTGATGCACATTTGATGACCATCTGCAACATCCTTCCACTGTTGCTGCCTCCAAGCACGCTCTTGGTTTAGATAACAAGGACTACACCCAGGATAAATTGGGCACTTTGACACACTGGAAACATTTTCTGCCTCACCAACCACATCAGGTAAAGCTTTGCTGAGGAGCCTGCTGTCTCCATCCAGCCACCATCCTCTAAAGGTCTGATGGACCCTTCAGGGGTACATTATTGCAGCAGGTTTCAGCAATATGCCTGTCTCTCCCCTTGCATGAAGGGTGGGAGATGGATTATTCTGCCACCAGGCTGTAACACGTACCCCCTGCATGGCCTACTCAAGGCATTATCGTTTCCTCTGTCTGGTTCATCCACTCATTTCAGGCTTGATACTGCTACCATCCTTACAACACCCAGGGGAGATGCTTATTCCTCTTTAGGGATTAATAACAAATTTCCACACTATGAGCTCAAGGGCAAGCCTGCAAAAAAAGCCACATCCTGTGTGAGTCAGGTGCAGTAATGCATGTGAAGCACACGCTGACCTTGTAGTTAGATCAAGCAGTGATGTGATATCCTGGGCAGCTACCTCCTGTGTCTGCATGTCCGTGTTTATAAATATGCCTGAGGGTAGCTCTGTCCTGGTAGCCTTAGTCAGACCTTGTAAGCTCTTGAGGGTGTTGGAAATGAATATAAACACACTTCTGTTTATTCAGAAATAAATATAAATAAATATAATGTTTTGCTTACCATGTCTGGCTTTGACATGTGTCAGACTTTTGGGTGGTACAGGATGATGCAAGGATAATGATGGGACCTTCCTAGGGACCCGTCAAAGGCAAAGCATCAGCCAGAACTCTTGGGCAAAATCTGTACTTGTATCCCAGCCACAGAATTTATTCAAAGCCCAGTGTAAAGATTTTTCTTTCCAACAGCTCATGATTTGTTATAGGTTATTGTTGGCTACTCTGCTATTTGGAGATAGTTTCACATCTGTTAGCCTATAAAGGGCGACATTGTTCTCTCCTCTCTCTGTTTCTCTTGCCTGGATTATTTTGGAAAGGACATTTTGTAGGTTAGATAGGCTTTGCCTTGCTCTTTAATCATGTCAAAACTCAGGTGGTCAATTCAACACATATATGAGGACCTGGGTTCAGTGTTGGAAGTATGGATACCAGCTCTCATTCACTGCTAGCTATCTCTAGAGTCAAAACCCTTGGTCATTTTCACCAGATTCCCTGTGATGAACAAGAGCCTTTCAAAAATGACTAGAACAAATGTACTTTGACTGCAATAAAGCTTAATTTTAACCAGCAGAAGTTTCAGGGAAAAAATAAAAATAAAGAGAACTTGTTGACATGAAGCATGTGGAGTCACTCATTTAGTATTCTGTAAGGGCTATAAATCTGTCTGGAAATGAGGCACAAAATGCATCATAAAAATGTGTAATCAAAACTATAACATCAGTTTCAAATTTATAGTAGGTAACTTATGGAGAGCATTACATGTCTAAACTTCAAATCAAATGTTCTTCAGCTGTAAATTTCAGCAAGCATTTGTATAAAATTCTGTTCTCTTCTTTCCCTTTACTTGAGAACAAGTCCAAGAATAAAGCAAACAAAAACCCACCATATTTTCTATAAATTTGGTATTAACAGGAACAACAGGGAAAAATATATAATCCGAAAAATAACACAAACCTGCCACAGAAAGCGAGTTGCAGTAGCAAACATCACTGATTTAAACTTCAGTGGATAAGTTTCATTCAATAACGTAACAGAACTCATCCTCTCCAACGATGATTTGATTCACTCAACTGATGTACATCTTTGTTTTACTTATTACCTTAAAATATTATTCTGCCCTAAGTACCCCCACTATGATTATCTTGTTGGTGTTAGCTTCTCTTTCTTCCTCTCCCAAAAGACTACTTTTGTGTTTCTGGGAACAAAAGCCAGCTGGGAAGGATGGGGAAGGGACACAGATATGGGCTATCTACTCAAATTTTGCTGTGCCTGGTGAGTAAGGGGAAACACTAACAAAATTAAATCATTAAATTATTCTCTAAAACCTAGTATAAATCTTTCTTTTGGTTTTAAAATTGTGCCGAGGCAGCAGTAGTCACGATCCTTCTAAATTGCATGGGGTCAGAGCCTTATCTCATCTAAATTTCTCTGCACTATAAAGCAGCCAACAAATTACCCAGCACAAATATACAGGAGCTCTGGTAGTCTGCAATAATTACTCAAGAAAAGGATACAGCAAACTTTGCAGGAAAGATTCTCCTACCCACAGAAGAAATACCATAGATGAGTAATGTCTAAAACAAACAAAAGGTCCATCTTTTGTAGCTGGACTTCTTGATATTTGTATGGTAATTCTTGAAAGACTTAAAAGTGAACCACAGTCCTTACATTCAGTACTTGGGGACATTCAGGACAGGTATACATGGCTATGCTACCATTTAATCTAAATGCTCACTGTAATATATCTGGGATGCTCTTTGACTTTTCCCTGTTTCTGGCTCACAGGGAGATGTGTTGTGCAATCTTTCATATGCAGTTATGATCAGTTGCATTTCTGCCAGTTATAGTGGAAAAGTTTTAGCAAAAAGAAGTTCCTTGGCTAGACACTAAACACACTCAAAAATGAATTTCAAGGTTTTGCTAAGGCTCAGCATTCACTATTAGAAACAGCTGATGTGCCCTAGATCCCAGTGAATCAAAGCAGACTGCTGACACTTTCCTTTACCTGAACTTCCTGGGACTGTCTCACCACTGTGTTTCTTTGCTGGGGTTACCATCTATTTGCCCCTGTTCCCTGGAAGATTACAGGCAAGGCCTGGGTTTGGTTGGGTAGGAGTATTTCTTTACATTGACAACTAATTTGTAGTTTATAGCCTGACGTTATCCTAGGAATGAGTTTATGGTCCCATAGCCCTCATATGGTAGCATCTTCCAAGCAAGGAGAAATACTTTTTATCATCTAATCATCACATCAAAATTAGGTTTGTAAGCCAAAGAGTAACACAGAAGCCTCCACCAGACCTCATAAAAACTCTGAGCAAGCTAAATCTATGGCCAAAAACAAATATCCATATGAATCAGACAACCAAAAACCTGCCAAAGTCTGAACAGTTATGAACATTTGACATATGAAATAAGTTCTGAGTAGCTCCAGAATAAACCAGACTGTGCTGCCACTGGGCCATCCAGATAACTGATGAGCAATCCAATATGTAGAGGAGAAATCTGGAATTTATAGCTGTGTAGTAAGCCATTTGCAACCCCTGAATAAGTGGGGTGGTGTGTAGCTGTGGTAGGTCAGGAGCTGTGTGATCCCAGGACTCACTTTGACGCCCACGGTGCCTTCCTGGACAAGGGGAAGAGATACCTTCATCCCTTGCTGAGCTGCACTAACAGGCATCTCAAGTCTGGATACAGAGACAAAGATTTCCCAGCCTTCATCCACCTCCAGCTTCATATGGGAGAAAACAAGGCAGTTTCCCAGAGCCTCTTCTATCCATGACAGTGAAAAAACCTAGGCAGAAGAGAGACAAATGGCCTCATAATCCATTGCACGGTACAGAAGGTTACTCTGAGACAGGTCCTACAAAGAATCTGGCATAATCAGCCAGGGCAATAACAAGTTTTGCTCTTCTTTGCAAGGCCCCGGAAATATTAGAAGAAAGTGAGGTTGAAGCACAGAAGAAGTGGCTGGCAGAGCACAGGAACACAAGCAAAAGGCAGATGCGGGGGGAAAAAAATCACCCACCAAATAATCTGTTATCTTAAATCACAGTGTATCTTCTTTTATAGACTTATTACATTATCCCGTTATCTGCACTTCACACCCTATCGCTCACTTTCCACAGATTTACGTGATGCGTTTTCTCCTCTTTTGTGACACAGTCCTTTGGCATGTGGGCTGGCAGGACAGCAAATATTGATCTCTGAGCAACTCCCAATTCTAGCACATAATGTCCTGCGCTGCAGTCCAAGGCTCCGGCTGCCTCTTCTGCTCCACTTTATCACTGATGTCTTGGCTGCATCCTCTACTTTTTTCTGCCTTTTTTTTTTTGTACTTTTTGTACTTTCATCTTTTTTTTTTTCAGAGCTCTCCTCCAGAAGTCTGTTGAAATAAATAATCGTCCTACTGAAACGTCAGCTGGAGTAGCAGTGAACACGGAGCTGAGATTTATATGAGCTGATTACTCAGACAGTTGTTCGGGATGGAGACTATTAACCTTCAGAGCCTGCCAGTTGATTTTAAGCGAACCTCTGTCTAATCTATTTATACAATCCCTCTCACTGTAGCACCTTTACACATAAATGTTGTCAACTGATTCACCAACAGGCACAAGGAAGTGGTGCAGAGAACAGCAACTAGAGCAGTGAATTTGAGCTTGAGCTCTTCACTCTGCTCTCACCACCTCCCAAAGCCTCAGTGTCCCTCCAGGATGTCTGAACATGCTCGGGACTGAACTTTGCAGAATTCAGGCCTGGTTGACACTTTACAGTAACTTGTTCCATTCTATAGGAACTCAGCACAAGGGTAGGAAGTGTTTCAACACTTCACATCCAGATTTTGAAATGGATCTATATTCAGAATATTTTTAAGTGCCCCAATGAGAGCAAAGTCTTTTCACACCCCACCTTCACAATTAACCATCAGAACCTGTTGCATGGGGACTGCATGGACCCTTCATCTGCAGCAAACACAAGGGAGCAAACCCACCAGTGAAAAATAGGAGGAAAAGATGCCTGCAGTCATCACTTCTTAAGGTATTTCCATGTGCTTCAGGACCCCTGGCATGTTGGCGTAAGTTCCTGGGAAAACTGACACTTACTGTATAGATTTGGGGTTTTTGTTTGGTTAGTTTTATTTCATTTTGTTTTCCTTTGCAGAGGGTCTTCCTTGCCTTTAAAAGAAAATAATTAAAAAATGGGAGCTAATACTTCCCCATGGAAAAGACACCATCCTGTAAGAATACAAAACTTACTAGATTTTAAAAATGAATTACTTTTAAGCTATTCATTTGAGGGCTGGAACTTCTCTTGTTACCCTTGAAGCTGGAAACAGTAGACTCAGAAAATTCAGAGAAGAGGCAGGAGGAATAATGACTTCAGCAGCATCCTCCCAAAAGATTATCGCAAAGCCAGGTTACCTTTTCCCTTCTCCTTTCTCAGTACAAAGTGCTGGAGGCCTCTTCAAGTCAGAGGATGTTTGCAGGGGAAAAGCAGGAGGAGAAAAGTTTAAGTAAACAGAAGTTATTGCTTTGCTGGGATGTGGCCGTGGGCTCTGCTGTTTTTCTTTGCAGAGGTTGGGCATTCACCCACCACCTGGCCGAGCTGTGACACGTGCCAGAGAAGGAGCACCCCTTACAATGGAATTCCCCAAAGACCTGTCATTTGTCTGTTCCCACTTCGTAGCACGCAGTTCCTCGAGGTATCTCGATTTTGAATGGGAGATGCCATGGGGGTGTTCAGTGCAGGACTCTGAAGGAAAGCCTCATATTTGCAATTCCCTCTGCATGAAGTAAAAGGCATCAAGACTAACTCTGGCCCGAGCTTGGCTCTTTGCCTGTGGAAAACATAACAGTATGCAATGTTCCTCATGCCAGTGGATAGCCCAATAGCTATTTAATTACTGTTTATGGTAACTGAATCACAATAGAGAATTCAATAGCACATTTTTAGGTTTTTATCTCATAGTCAATACATTCCTTTCCTATATTCTGGGTGGGATGCTGCATTCAGGAATATACTGGTTCAGAAGCACTTACAATTATGTCTAAGGGTAGTCACTGACATACTTGCTCAGTCCCCAGTGAATTCTACCCAAGATTCTCTCAAACAATTTTGGTTAGTTTGAAGGGCCAATTGGACCAGAAGTACCTTGTAACTCCAAGCTTTTTTAAAGAGCCCACAAGAAGCACCCGCAATGTGGTAACAACCAGTTGAAGATCAGCAGAAAAAGTATTTCAGAAATGTCATGGAAAGTATGACAGCTTTTCAAAATTAAGACGTGTATGTGAAGCCTTGGTGGGGCTGGTGTAAAGAAGCTGTGGAGCAGAATCTGAAGCTGTCCTACTGCAGCTGACCATCAAAGCCTGCACATGACAGGTTTGTTGGCAGCATATCAGACACCAAGGGCTCTACATTAACCACCCCTCTTCTCTTAACACTCATCCTTTTGACTGGACTCACCTCTTCTGGTTTTAAAATCATCAGTTTTAATTAATAACAGCCACCTATAGCACAAACTGTCCACCTGCCTCTCAGACTGAAATGAAAAACCATTAATAACCAAAACACAGGACACATAAAAACTCTCAAACAATGAAACAAAAGCCTAGGAAATACCTTGATACTTTCATCCCAGGGAATGCTGACTTTCATTTCTATTCATTTCTTTAACATCTGGTACGAGTTGCTGGGGAATGATGCTCCATTCAGCCTTGGACTCCTTCCACCTTGTGGATTCAGTAACAGAGTCAAGACACCTGTACCTAAAGGCAAAGCCATCCAAGTCTAATCGGATATGCTGCCTCAGAGACATTATTCTTTTCAGATGAGAAGTAATTTTTAGGCCCTCACTATACTGGAAAGACAATACTGTACTTTGGGCAAGAACTGGGATATTAATTTCTGGCACAGTCTAAAGTCAGGACATTTTTGCTCTCCTAAAATTCCCCCACCCCGAGTTTACAGTTGGTGGTATGAATCTTTATTCCCCCACCAAAAATCACAAACTGAATTTCTGTTGCCTTGCCAGCATCGTCTGGCCATACAGCCCCAGCCCACAGTTACAATGATGAAGGAATGTGCTGCAATGCTGTGCCTTGCCAAGCCTGAGGTAGGATTATTCTGGCTTTTCCACGCCTTTGAGAACTGCTGTATTTTGCTACCTATCCCGCTTTCCTGATGAAGGCAGCTCTGCGGTGGGCAGGAGGACACAAGCCCCCCTCAAAGAGGTTGCCAAAAAGGGGATGTGTTGCATCTCAGCTGCTGGGGTGATGGCACTGATCTCCGGAGGAGGCAGGGTGGCACTGACAGGCCGCTGTGCACATTGGCACAGCTGCAAAACTCTGCACATTTTTGCAGCCGCTGTTCTGGGAGTGACCCCAGGCTGTCTGCTCACTAGCTCAATTGCTGACTGTTGCCCAAAAAGTGTCATTGCTGTATAAATAATGGAGACTTGCACAAAGGAGACAGACATCCTCTGTGTTACTGGTCTTTTTGCTCCCAAAAAATAAACTCCAGTGCAGGAGTATCGCAGGTGACCATCCAGGAGATTATAACATGGGAAACAAACACAGACGGTACCTGGGGTTCAGTCCTGCTGGGAGTTTTGAAGCTAGCGGTGGTGAGTAGAGAAGAGACTTAACACAATAATGACAGCTCAGGTCATGGAGCAACTGTGATGGAGGAGCTCTGGCCACAGCCCTAGACAGGTGGGATCATGAGCTGACACTGCCAGAGTGGTGTATTTTACTGATGCAATATTATCACAGCATAAATAACGGTGCAAAGAGAAAACAGCTTCATTTATAACTGTCAAAAGTGACACTCTAAATCTCAGCCTGTCTCCAAATAAAACCTCTTGATGCCACTGCTAAGATATATGCTCTCCACTGTGGGCTTTGTCTAATGGGCAGCCCGGAGGGCACTCAAATCCCACTTGTGCCAAGCTCACAAAGCGTGTCTTCCCAGTCTGGGCATTGGACCACACAGGCCAAACTGCAAAAACCATCTCAGGTAGATCTGAACGCCTACAGGCATGAACAAACATGCCTGTAAGAGCCCAGTGCAATAGATGGAGCTATTTATCATAGGCAAAGGCCAGAAACAAATGAAGTGACCTGTAAAACCAAACACTTTTGTGGCTCTTATTGAAAGCACACAGGATATTCATGTTCCAGGACTCAACACAATGGCTGTGTCTAGCCGGACATGCCTTTAAGTGATTGAACTCAAGCTCTGTCTGGGCAAGGCATCAAACTCCACAAATCTCTATCCAAACCTCACACCTGATGGCACATTGAGCCAGTCCAGACAATATTCTGGAGTTTATGTTCCACTTCTTCAGCCCCCTCAATCCCTGCAGTGCACTGCCAGCCAGCTTGCCTTCCTTCAGAGAGAGCAGGAGAGATCAAATGGACATTAAGCACTTCAAAAAACAAAGGTCTGCAAAAAATCAGACTTTCAGCTTTGGTGTGAAGCTTCGACTGAGAAGGTATTAAGCCAACAAGCGCCATCAAGCACCATCAACAAGAGATACGGCAATGTGGGTTCTGGTAAGACCAAATCTCCACTGAAAACAGGACTAACTTCTAAACTGTATCAGGTAGCTCAGGGTCTTTCTCGGCCTAATTTTGAAGATCTCTGAAGATGTGATTTCACAGCCTCTTTGAGACCACCTCTCATTTCTGAGGTGGTCTCAAATTCCACCATTTTTCATACAGACATGGCATGATCAGCTTCTGATGACTTTTGGTCCCCCTAGACTTCACATTGACATGTCTATACTGGCCTCTGTGCCAGTACAGAATTAGACTAAAACTCAAAGTGAGGCATTGAATGGTTTGAGTCCAACATTAAAATTTCAAACAAGGGTTGCTTTTTTCATAGCAAGTCTTTTGGGGTTTTCTTTTTCCAAGTTATTGAAGAGTTAGGATTGCTAACTCGTGGCAGTAAAACATGAAGTCTGCAAATCAGCTGAAACATCACTGTATTTGTCATGGGCAATGGACTTTAAGATGAAAGGTGGAAAATGGGATATTTTCCTGTTTCCTGTCCCATTCATCTCCGAAATATAAAGAAAAAGTTGAAGTCCTCATTCAGAAATTTATATTAAATGAGTAAAAGTTGCTCCTGAGCAACCTGCTCTCATTGACCTTTCTTTGAGCAGAGATCTCCAACCTCAACTACTACATGTAGTTTCAGTGGAAATTAAAATAATGTCTCATGTTCTTTTGAATACAACTATATTTAAACATGCATTTAAGTACATTCCCCAAATTCATTATTAGTGGGCGGGTTGTTGATAAAACCATGCATTAAAACAAAGAAATTTTTGACTATCAGATTTTTACAATGAAGACTAGTCTGGAAATGAATTTAGTGTCTTTACTATTTTCCTGCATGAGCTCCCAACTGCTATATTTACCAGAGTGGATTTTGCAGGAGCAATGATGATTTACAGTTTCTGAGGAGCTGATTTCACTGTTACGCTCATGTTGTCGCCCCACCAAAGCCACACACCTTCTTTAATTAATTTATTGCACTGACCTCTGAAACTGCAATTCCTCTGGATTCTTTCTTAAGCCTACAGATAAACAACATAAAACAAGGAGAAAAAAATAGCAAAAGTAAGAAGGGAATGGAAGAACAGCTTGTAATCTTATTATGATGGCTTCCAACAGTTTACAATAGCAAATATTCAATATTCTAGTATGCATTACTTTCATAACTTGGGTAGTAATTACACAGCTTGATGTGAAACTCCAATGAGCCATTCTTGGTGTCCTGGCACAGCCAGTTCACAGAGGAAAACCTTGTGTTTTTCTCAGCAAAGTAAGCTTTTCAAACATATGCAATGTTAAGCACAGCATCAAGTGCTGCGAGGGGGAGAAGGCTGAGGGAAGGGTAACATCAACATGAATATGGATGATAAAAGGGAGAGAGGACCAGAGACTGGGAAGCTGTGGGGTCTGAATGTAACTGCATATGCTGCACAGGCAGTGGTATTGCACCGGGGGACATCAGCTGCCCCATATTCTGAACCGAACATCCCACCAGTCCCACTTTTAGGTTAATTACAGACAGAAAAAGCAAATATTCCCTGAACCCAAATTCTTCTGCAACACAGCTCATGGCAGATAAGCAATCTGATTAGAGACAAGAAGAAAAGGAGACTGTTCTGCAAACCAAAGGCCAAGCTTCTCAGTCTTCTGAGAACTGTCATAAAGGACAACAAGGCAACAGCCTGCCCCTGAAGATAATCATGTCCTATAACTATGACAAAGAACTGGGAATAACGCTGGCAGCAGAACAGACAGTCCCTTCCTGGGGACAAAAGCCAGAATACAATGATTTATGGCTTGAGGAGGAGGGAATTATTTTTTTTTAACCAAGCCAATCTGAATCATCATGCTTAAGTTCTGAAGTTAAGCAAGAACTTAAAAATAAAGACCAGATCCCATGTCCTCCCTCAGTTCTGCTGCAGTCACTTGAACAGGATTTTATTTGAACAAGGATGCTTGATGTTATGTCTACTCTGAAAAGAAAAAATGTTTTTATTTCAGTTTGGTCAACCCCAATGAGCTAACTCAGGTTAAAATAGAGGTGAAATGACAACAAGAACACAAGAACATATGGACTGGTTCAGATCAAAGGGCTGGTGATGCTCAGGGAGGAGCATATAAGCATGGGAAATAGTGACTAATTCCCATACTATATTCAGCCCTTAGAAGCCCACAGCTTTAGAAATTTATGAAGTCAAAGGTCTCAACCAAGATGTTTAACGGGCCTGTACTCACAAGATAGGTCAGCTTCAAAATATCCCACAGAAATAAGCTCCTCAATCAGGTTATGGATTCTGGGACAAATTATTGCCGCTCAGTCAATTTAAACCTGCTGTGTGGGCACCCCAGTTTCTTCAGTTGCGAGCAACAAACAAGAAGTGATCTGGGTTATAAGCTCAGCTTGAACTCAAAACTCGAAACTGAATGACAGTCCATGTTTTTTATTTTCCCCTTCATCCTTATTTTCATTAACATTAATTAATATGAATTGACTAACTGATATTTTTCAATTTGTGTATATGCTTAAGCATATCTTAAGTTAAAAAAATAGATCAGAACGTGGGTACAAACCAAGCCAGAAATCCAAGCACACTCCAGGCTTAAGGGAAGCACAAGCTTGTACTTGAAATCAAGGAGAAAAAAAAATAGAAATACTTCAGATTTTTGAGAACAGCTTATTAGTACATGAATCTAGATACTTTTTATTCTTGCTCAAGACTACCTGATTGCAACAAGGATATATGACTGATTTTTTTCTATGGCTCCAGGTAGCAAACATTCCTTCATTTTTATTTTTCTCCTTTTTCTTTTTAAAGTACTTTTGGCAAATCATATTTTCCTCTGGCTTCTCACACTGTATTTTGTATATGAAGGCTAAGGACATGCCTGGCTACATGAAAGGGTCACCATCCAGGTTACAGATTAGGAAATAGTACAGTTTGTCAACATTTGGCCTAGACAAACTTTTAAAATATAAATACAGATGGTTTTATTTAAAAGAGAAAAAGTCCAAATTCTACTAAAGGTTGAATGTTGTTTTCTTTCCAATCACATTTTTTTTTCCCCGAATGTTTGGTACATTGTGTTCCATTGTTATCAAATTTAATCACAATTATATAATAAAATGTAATTAGGAAATGGAAATAGAAATTGAGAATCCATTGGTTCTGTGGTTTATTCAAGACATTCCTAGCCCCAAATTCATATATGTCATGTATTTCTGGGAGTGTATTCCTAAGTTAGAAGGGAATACAAGCACAAGAAGGGTGGAATATAGGAGATAACTCATCTAATTGCTACTTCTGTGGACCAAATAATTAATTCCCTTCATGCCAAAAACCTAACATACAACTTTTGATAAACTGAATGATCCAGCACTTGAACTTCAGGACATCAGTTTAACGTGTATCTGTGGTCTGACACTTTCAGTGACCTCTGCATGCTACCACCTTAAAAATACCATACGAAAACTTTATGCCCTAGGGCTAATAATCCAATAAACTCACATCTTGTCATTGCTTCCTGTTTTGACAAAGTTTTTCATCTTTCTATCCTACAACAAAAGCAAAGGGGTTCATTTGCTATGTGAAGCACTGAGTAGACAATAGCCCTGGTTTGAATAAAAATAAAAACAGTGCTATTTCTCTAAAAACAGCACACTGAGAAACACAGAATCAACACTGCAAAGAAAAGGTCTGGGTTAAGACCACTGTTTTATCAAGCAAGGTGAAAAAAATCCAACATTCCTTAGCTAAGGGCTAGATAATGTTCACAGCAGGACACCAGCGAGTGCGGAGCAGAAACAAAGTTTTGGAGATTTATTTCCCTGGGAACCTCACTGCGACTCTCTCTGCATGAGATTTGGATAAGCTAACATGAGGAAATCTGGTGGCAACAAAACCACTGCAATGTGAATGTGAACCTAATTAAAACATCCTGCTCGGTTTTATCAGTGCAAGGTCAGGTCCATGGGCTACCCCCCAGGAACCTGGTGTAGTTAGAAATGGCACTTGTGACTTGGGTAAAGAAACAAAGATGTGAACTTGCAAAGCCTGAGGTTGTATCGCAGTAGGAAGGTTTACAAGAACTTTACCAGCCAGGATTCAATTCCAAATTTTCTTGGAAAACTGGTGATATGGGACAAGATGAAGAAGATCAGATTCCACAAAGATGAGAGCAAAGGATTGTACTTCGAAAGGAGAAACAAAGTGTGAATGAGGAACAGGTGGCAAGGGCTGTCCATGGCTGCAGAGAACCCAGGAGCGAGATGGAGACACAGACTCCAAGAGTCCCTGGGACAAAGCTGCTTGAGATAAACCCAACATCCCATGCAGTAACAGTGCTGCTGCTGTAAGACTTGAGGATTACTGCATCCTTCTCATTGCTGCTGGCTTTCAAACACAGCCATTTCTCATCAAACTCAACCATTCAGGGGTGGGAAAGATGGTGTGAATAATTTGGAAGAAGTGAGAAGAGAATGGCCAGAAAAAAAATTACTTTGGAAGACAGTATGAACAAGAATTTGTCTAAGCTAGAAAAGCAGCAACAGGACATAGGAAAAGTGTGTTCACAGCTTGGGACATAAACATTCTTATCAAGAAAATAGGAACCAGCAGATCTCCAAGACCACAGCCAGGAGCACATGAAGCAATTGGCTTTGCAATGAACAATAGTGAAGCTGGATACGATGAAACATGGCCAGTCCCAAGGATATGTGGGGGTGGGCTCACCAAAGATGCTCCAGCACAACTTTTAAAGGCAAGACAGGTGTGTGTCCAAGATAACGCAGGTATACCTGCTCAGGACAGGATGCCATGGACCTTGGCAAGAATCCGGGACCAAATGTCATTCTGCTGCCCTCTCCTGCCAAAATCCCATTGCTGGAATTTCTCAGGATGAGAACCTTGAACACATCTTCAGGCTTCGACACCACATGGAACTGGTGCTTTGTTAGAAATCCCCCCAAACTCCTTTACTCCCCGCCTCCCCCAACTTTGCGTCAAACATCCCGAACGAGCAGTAAATATATATATATTAACAACATGTTAGCTTAGTCATCTGCCCCACAGAAATGCTGTAAACATTTCAGTTTGGCACAGCTGCAAAGACACACTAACCACAAGTAGAGCGCGGGCTGTTTTGCCAGGAGGACACTGTTTGCTTTCAATGCCATTTTTGTTGTGAGCCCATAATAACTACGATACCTGTCCCCTGGGAGCAGTAGCAATTGACTCGAATAAGCAACGAGCTACGTTTTGAGTTCTGTCATCAGCATGCAAGGCTGGTTTGCATTAAGCATAATGCACAGTCTGAGCACATCAAGCAGCGTGAAGCCCGAGTGATACTTTTATGGCCAGATTCTGATTACATTGTGGTTTTGATCCTCTGTAGAATTCTGAGACATTTATTTTTCAGAAAATTAAAAGAAAAGTGGATCAGAAGTGGGAGGAGACAGCACTAATTAATCTGTAGCTGAAATGTCAAAGGCAAAAACTTGTGTCCTGCTAATGCACAAAGGAGTCTCAGGGCTTGCAATTCAGCTGCGATTGTGCAATCCAATCTGGAAAGAGTTATTTATATAAAAAGAAAAAAAAAGTCACAGATCTAGTAGCTGTGTTTGCTGCAACAAATGCCATAAGGCAGCATTACAACCCTGCAGCACACCATGGAAACAGGCAGAAGAGGCAAGTGGAGACTGCCTTCTTCATGCCCTGACCTATGGCACATCTCACGAGCATACTTGAGGCATTAGGGTCACATTTGCACCCTTGTTAACTGAACAGAGACAAACTACACCACCAGGGAAAGAGCCACAGCCCCCCTGAAGCCTCAGCAACCTGCAAAATTTCCTGTGCACCGGTGCAAATTTCATCAAAAAAATGCTGGTTTTGTCCCCTGCTGTATCTGTGCTTTGCAGGAGCAAAATTCTTGCAACACCTGTGCTCCTACAGTGCCAGGCAAACCTCAGGGGACATACCAAGCTCCCAGCACAGCAAAGGCTTCACTTTTCTAAATGGGATGC